ATCAACATCAACATACAAAAATAAAGTGGTTTCTATATAGCAGCAATAAATAAAAAAATGATGATTTAAAACACTAAATAATGATACCTGGGAACAAATTTAATAAATATATGTAAAATCTCCATGGGGAAAATTATAAAGTTCATTGAGAAATCTCAAAGAAGACATAAAGAAATGGGGAGAAATAGCACACTCATGGATAAAAACTCAGTATCGTAGAGATGTAAAAATGGTGTGGCATGGGCATCTGATCTTCTATAACTTCACAAGGGGGACAGAACATCACCATCAGCATCAGACCAAGGCTGATTCCTATGAAGGTAAGACATACCTCCTCTCTCATACGTTTTTACCAATTCTCCCTCCTTTGGCATTCTCTACGTCTCTGCTAGGCTAAATAATTCAATGCAATGGCCAAAAAGAACTCACAGACCATACTCATAATTATGGAGTTTATTAGGGAAGTAACACGTTGCAACTCAGGATCAGGAAAGGCTTAGGAAAGTTCTTCAATCAGAACAACCTCTTCTCAGCCTTGCATGCCCACAGGCAGGCCTTTGTCTGGCCCTCAGCCCTGCTCAGGCAAGTGTTACAAAGCTCATTAGCTCTACTAATAAGTACCCAGAGGCATCCCACTCTGCCAGTAAGGCTTGGTTCAAAGGCACTCAGCTTTCTGCTTCATAAGCCAGGAAGCCAACAGCACTATCTCCATCTCCTGTCAGTCTCCTGGTTGCTGCCATCTTTCTCTGCTGCTGCTTCTCATCATCTTTCAGCACCTCTGATGTTATAACTCTCTCACTGTCTCCTGGGTTTAGGAGTTCTTGGTGGCAGGGAGAAGTGAACAGGGAGAGGGAACCTAAATACCACCAAGAAAGAAGAGCCAACAGTGTCTTCTGGACCCAGAATCCCTATACTGACAACCTCCTAGATTCAGGTGACAGAGTGGTAACACTGCAGACGGCAAGAGACGGTGAAAAGCAACAACAGAGAAATGGCAACAGCATAGGCAGTAGAACCAGGAGATTGACAGGAGAAAGTGCAGTGGGCTTCCCAGTCCACAGGGCAAGAACTCAGTGTCTTTGGGCAGTAGGCTTAGTGGTGGAGTAGGGTGCCTCTGGGCATCTGACAGAACCAAGCTTGCTGGCTCATGGAGCAAGAGAGCTGAGTGCCTTCAGGTCAAGGATTACTGGCAGAGTGAGGTGCCTCTGGACACTTAATGGCAGAGGTAAAAAGAGCTTTCTAACATTTGCTCAAGGGCAGAGACTAGGCCAAGGGGCCCAGAGCCAGAGGGAGGCCTGCCTACAGGCACGGCTGAGAAGAGGCTGTCCTGACTTAAGAACTATATACTGATTCGTTCTGGATCCTGAATTGTAACCTATTTCCCTAATAAGGAACTCAGGTGGTACAGTGGTTAAGATATTCAGCTGTTAACCAAAAGGTCAGTAGTTCAAACCCTCCAGCTGCTGAGGGAGAAAGATGACGCAGTCTGCTTCTGTAAAGATTTACAGCCTTGGAAACCCTTTGGGGCAGGTCTACTCTATCCTACAGGGTTGCTATGAGTTGGAATTGACTCTATGGCAGCGGATTTACTTCTCTAATAAATCCCATAATTGTGAGCACTGTCTGAGTTCTGTGTGGCTATTACAACAAATTATCAAATCTAACAAAGAAGTACAGAGTACCGTGGTAGGGATGGTTGATGTTAGAACTGGTAAAGGTAAAAGGTTGGAGACTGGTCTGTCTGACCTCTGCTTCATGTTGTTGTTGTTTGTTAGGTGCCATCGAGTTCATGTCCAACTCATAGCGACCCATGCACAGCAGAACAAAACACTGCCCGGTCCCACACCAACTCCCTAATCCTAGCTATACTTGAGTCCATCGTCACAGCCACTGTGTTAATCCTTCTCATTGAGGGCCTTCCCCTTTTTTGTCGACCCTCCACCTTACCAAGCTTGACATCCTTCTCTAGGGAATGGTCCCTTCTGACAACATGACCAAAATAGGTGAGACGGAGTCTGGCCATGCTCACTTCCAAGGGGCATTCCAGCTGCACTTCCTCCAGGACAGATCTGTTAGTTCTTTTAGCAGTCCATGGTCCCTTTAGCATTCTTCACCAGCATGACAACTCAAAAGCATCAACTCTTCTTTGGTCTTCCTTATTCATTGTCCAGCTGTCACATGCACACGAGGCAATGGAAAATATCATGGCTTGTGTCAGGTGCACCTTCATCCTTAAGGAGACATCTTTGCTCCTCAGCACTTGAAAGAGGTCCTTTGCAGCCAACTTGATCAGTGCTATATGTCATCTAATGTTCCGACTCCTGCTTCCACTGGCGTCGATTGTAGAACCAAGCAATGTAAAGTCTTTGACAACTTCAATCTTTTCTCCATTTATTGTGATACTGCTTATAGGTCCAGTTGTGAAGATTTTTGTTTTCTTTATATTGAGATGTAATCCATACTGCAGATTGTAGTCTTCAATCTTCATCAGTAAGTGCCTCAAGTCATCCTCACTTTCAGCAAGCAAAGTTGTGTCATCAACATATTGCAGATTGTTAATAATTCTTCCTCTAATCTTGATGCCACATTCTTCTTCATATAGTCCAGCTTCGCGGGTTATTTGCTTGGCATACATGTTGAATAAGTATGGGGAAAGGATACAATCCTGATGCACTCCCTTCTTGATTTTAAACCATGCAGTGGCCCCTTGTTTGGTTCCTCTGCCTCACAGGAATCCCTTTTCCCCACTAAAGTCTATTCCTTAATCCATGCTCGGATGCCTTTGAATTGTGGTGTTAGCAAAGAATACTTAAAATACCATGGACTGACAGAAGAACAAACTAATCAGTCTTGGAAGAGGTGTGGCTGGAGCGCTCCTTAGAAGCGAGAATGGCCAGACTTCATCTCATGTACTTTTGTCATGTTGTGAGAAGGGACCAGGCCCTGGAGAAAGAGACCATGCTTGGTAAAGTAGAGGGTCAACAGAAAAAGGGGAAGACCCTCAATTAGGTGGATGACACAGTGGCTGTAATGATGAGCTCAAGTACAGCAATAACTGTGAGGATGGCACAGGACCAAACAGTGCTTTGTTCTGTCGCTATGAGTCACAACTGACTCCATGGCACCTAACAACAGCAACAACAAGTTTTTCATGGAGCCACAATGCCAAGTTAGATACTGAATGAGAAAGTATCATTCCATTCCAACATCCAAGCTTAAGAATGCACTCACTGAATAATCCCAGAAAGTACCATTGAAAACTCTGGTAGAATTAACTAAAAATGAAGATCCTACTGGAAAATGACAAGATCCTCTAGATGGCAATGCTAGCAATGATGCATCCAAAAATATCTAAATCATCACAGCGAAACATTAAAATAAGATAATGGCTTAGCAATAAGTAGCAGCCTCCTAAAAACCTTACTTCCCTTCAAGCATACACATATCATATCACACTGACAACAATGAGCTGAAGAAAAGACCAGTACCAAGCAAACCCAAGATGTACAAGTTCCCACCAATGAATAGCACTGGGAACGGCATGTGCTCAGCTGGATAAAATAACTTTTTGTATTTTATCTGTGGCAGTCCACAGTCCCTAACTGGTTGTTTTTCATGCTTAATTTAGCATGTGAGGACAAAGGCCATGTCACACAGTTGTGCTACCAAAACAAATTTGAGAACATGTACTTTGGACCATTTCAATTTTGCCTCTGACAATCTGCTTCCCTAGAGAATATCACCTGACCCAAAATTTTATTACTGATGTCTTGATCTCTTTAATACCCTTTAGGGAAAAAAAAATAAAATAAAATAATAGGCTAAAAAAAGCCCTGGTGTTGTAACTACTCCAGAGCTTCAATGCTGTGGTGTAGTGAGTTACTTGGTGTGGGTTTTTAACCATTCTTTGTGACTCCCATCAGATTACTAGGTGGGACCATGCAAATAGTGTATTGAACTCTAATGTGGGGATTAGTTAGTTTTGTCAGTCTGTTAGGCTTAAGATGAGCTTTCCTAGTGGTAGAAAAGGGGATCTCACTGCCATCAAGAGACAAGAGCTGGAGGTGGAGTGGAGCACATCCTTGGACCCAAGATCCCTGCACTGGATCTCCTTAGTAGAAAGACAGCAGAGACAACCGGCTGAGATGACCAGCTAAGAAGCCAAGAGGCACCAGACAGAGCAGCAGGCTTGCCGGCCCATGGAGCGAGAAAGCTGAGTGACTTTGGGCAGAAGACTTGCTGGCAGAGTGGGGTACACCTAGGCGTACCTATTAGCAGAGCTAAAAAAGCTCTATAACATTTGCCCGACAAGGGCAGAGGTCATGCCAAGAGAGCAAGGGCCAAAGAGGTGTGCCTGAGGGCATAGCAGAGAGGAGACTGTCCTGATTGAAGAACTGTATCCTGAGTGCATTCCTGAGCCTAAATTGTAACCTGTTACTTCCCTAATAAACCACATAACTGGGAGTACTGTCTGTGAGTTCTGTGTGGCCACTGTAACAAACTATCAAACCCAGCAGAGAAGTAGTGAGTAACATGGGAAGGATGGTTGGTGATAAGGGTTGGTAAAAAGTCTGCTGATAGTGATTCTGTCTCTCTTGTGAACTTAGAGGAGGTCAAACGAAGATGCTGCCCCTAGATCCTTTTTGCAACCATCATTGAACTACACCTAGGAAACTCATTTTATAATCAGCATGAAACTATTTGTCTCATCTTTGGCTTGGTAGCTAGTTATTCTAGTAGCATGACTGCTCCATACCAAGAAATGTGCCTATGAATAGAAGAACCATGATACAGGTACAGTAATGATCTTGTACATATTAAAACTGATCTTACAAAGACGGCACATAACAACAACAACGAACTTAAGTTACTAAATAAAACATGTTCTGGGACTATCTACAGAGTCAAAAACCAAGAGAAAGAACAGAAGGTATAGATGTGGCTCATGAAGCCCTAGACTCTAAGTTTTCTAGTAACCATGATTTAGGAGAGAAATGTACCTTATCCATATGGAAGATCAAATCCAATTCACAAACATTTTCGAAACACTTATCCAAGGTCTCCACAAAAACCTAGAAACAAAGAGAAATAGATAAAAAAGAAAAACTCACATCTTCATGAATGTCACATCTGAAAGTGAAGCAAGCAAAATGAAAAAAGAATATGTAGACAGCGATCATGATACCATTCATCTCACGATACATCTCAAAAAAAGGACTTTTTGTCTCCAACATTAGCTGATCACCCTATTTATCTCAATTTGAAAAGACAAAGCTTCTAGGAAAGAAAAATCTGGGTTTTAGTATAGCAACATAGCCAGCAGATACATATGGCTTTCTTTCCCTTTTATAAGATGCTAATTAACATAAAAATAATATTTATGACTTTAATTCACTTCTAATTATAAATTCAACAAAGACTTTTTGGAACTTTACAGAATTACACCCACTACTCAATGTTATTATCTGACATTTCACATTTATGACAACAGTAAAAAAATCTATCATCTATTTTACACAGGAGCAATGTATGTTTGTCAGTAACAAATGTCAAGGTGCTAGATAGGAATAAAGCTGGCTGTGATGGTTATAGGAGCTCTGGTGGCATAGTGCCTAAGGCATTTCACTGCTAACCAGAAGGCTGATGGTTCAAACCCACCAGACACTCCTAGGAAGGAAGACTGGGCAATCTACTTCCATAGTGATACTGCCTCAGAAGCCAAAGGAGGGGTTGCTATGAGTCGCATCCAACTTTATGACTGTGAGTTTGGTTTTTGGTTTTGTGATGGTTATGTGTCAGCTTGGTTGTGCCATGATTTTCAGTGGTTTGGCAATTATGTAATAATGTAATTTGGCAGTTGTATAATGATGTAGTCATCCTCCATTTCTGCATAATGCTGATTTTCACATAATGACCTGGTTTAGGAACCATATTGATAAATGAGTGGGTGTATTAAGAATGTATATGGATAAAACTGAACAACCAAAATGGAAATCATGAGAACATTCATGAATTGTGAAGCATGTAATGAATGTCACTGAATAATCTGTGTAGAAATTGTTGAATGGGAACCTATGTAAACCTTCACCAAAAGCACAATAAAATATATATATAAGGCATTGTAAATATAGCTTTATATATATATATATATGTATATAGTTTAAAAAGGATGTATATAGATGAATAAATGGTTATATATATATATATATATCAGTGAAAAGGAAGTTCATGAAAGGAGAATGAATGACCCTACTAGGTATATAAACCTATATCAAAATAAGAATACATATAACAGTATGAGATTAATGTAGAGAAGAATATACTCAGTGGAACAAAATATAAGAGTAACAACTATATCCAATTACGTATCTATTAGTTTATTCAACCCCTGAGAGAGAGATTATTACATGGTCTGCACTGTTCTACTCCAGCGATACTGTGGTGAACAAGTCATACTCTCATCCTGCTTACGTTCTGGGTGTAGGATGAACAAGGAGGCAGAAAAAGCAGATCTTTTCCATTGTCAAAGTGCTCTGAAGGAAGGGGTTACTTTAGATAGGATGTCAGGAAAGTCTCTCTCACAGGGTTAACATTTGAGCTGAGACTTGAATAATGAAAAGAAGCCAGACATTGGAGGAACTGAACAGTAAAGGAGCTGAGGGGATAGAACAAGTGCAAAGGCCCTGAGGCAAAAATATACCTGTGTTTGAGGTCACAGGGACTACAGTACAGGGAAGTATATACAGTGTATACAATGAGGATAGGGGTATATGGGGAAATGGACAGATCATATCAGGCAGTATAGATTATGATAAGAAGTTTGGATTGTATTCTAAAACTCATTATATATTAAGGTTTCTCCACAAAGGGAGGAATAGGTTATCTACATTTAATAATTTTAAAAAGTGTTAGTTTTTTCATTGCAACACTTCACAAAAACCAAAAAGTGAAAACAACTGAAATGTCCATAAACAGAGGAATGCATAAATAAAATGTGGTACATATACAATGGAATACTACTCAACCATAAAGGGAAATGAAATCCTGATATACACTAGAACATAGATGAACCTCAAAAACATTAGGCTGACAAGCAAAGTACAGGTATGTGAGTTGAACATTTACCTCAAGTGGACACATGCCCTTGAGAGAACAATCATGGGAGAAGGAAGGGCACCTTATGCACAGGGAGACAGCTTAGGGGGCAGGAGAGTATGGAGGGATGGACACTGGGAAGTGGTAC